GAGTAGGGCTAAATCAAAACTCCATGTGATCTCATTAATTTGACCACTAGTCATATTAATTTCAGCTAACTTGAGCGTAATAAATATTTATTAAATAGAAAGTTTGTTGAGCAATAAACATAATCGTTTTCTTTAGAAGGCTCATGGTTCTGCAGCCTGAATTTCCACAGTCAGCATATATTCTTAGAATACCTTTTTTCCCTTTATACTTCTTTATACATAATTTCTTGTTGTTCCAAGGAATACGGTGGTTGATTCAGTTCAAGGTCGTACTTTGGACATTTTATTGGTGGTGAGGTTCTCGCAGTATGGCCGAGACTTAACATTCATGGTTGATACCGCTTCTTCCAGACAGCGAACCTTTTCCAGGCTAAGAACATTTTCCTGCCTTACTTGCCTTCCCTACTGCAGTACACATCAAGTATCAGTGGAACAAAATTTAGTTTCAATGTCGGAATCGTGACTCAACTGTTTTGTAATGTTGCTTTAATTCATTAAGGCTTCAACTGTTAGTAAATTTTCGAACCTCATCATTTTAGAGGGCGCTTGTCTTTTTTTAATAAAAATAATATAGAGAAATTGAGAAATGAATTTCTTTTCAAGTACTTAAAGCTGAAGTTTTATAGTCTACGTTACAGTAAATTTTCCAATGCGATTATTAGCAAAAATATAGTTTTTTTTTCCAACTCGTGACAGACTGATCGACGTCAACGCATTCGCTGAGTATGATAAAATATAAAACAAGCACTTGTCAGTTTATAAATAACTTTTAATTAAATTTTAATGACTTAAGCATACGTCAACTAGACTAGTTAATTATAAGGCTTAGTAAATAATAAATAAATAAATTGGCATACCAAAAACACCATACAACGTGATACTAAACAAACAACTTTAAGTATGTATTAATGCATACTCGTACATACAATACATACATACACACATATACATTTAAACAATTATTTGACGACGTAATAAATAAATTACTCCAAAGTGAGTGACGACAAATGAGGTGAGCACCGCGACAGCACAAATAATTAAATGCAAACAATAAAATAGATAAAAAAAAGAAAACAACTTCGATTCAAACCAAATTAAACATAAAAGTTTTCCTCAAGGGAGACGTTAGTCGATAGAAAAATTAAGAATTCGCACCAAAAATTAAATTTTACTCCGAAAAAACAAATGTGTGATTTGAAATAGCATTTGCGCTCCTCTATACATTTATAATTGGCGCTTTTGTAACCGCTGGAGCGATGTTCGGCCGAGCTCTTCCTCCAAATTGTGGTATGCATTTTGATGTTTTTAACAACACTACTAGAGACCTACGGTTTTCTCTAAGCCACCTCTGAAGACTCGATGAGTTTTTGCAATGAACTTTTATTTCATGTCAAAAATACACTCAACTGCCGAGCGGCGGCAGCAATTAGAAAAATTTATATTCTATAATTTTGGTTGTTGATTGAAACAGGATTTGAACCCTGGTCTTCAGAATGACAATGTAAACCACTCGGTTAATGCAGCCACCATGCATATACATATATAATAATAAACCGCAAAGTAGTTGTTGAATTTGTACCACTAACAAAATTATTTAAGTTAGACCCGCAGAGAATTGATTGGAATGCATATACCTTACACACTGGAATTCACCAAAAATGTCGCTACACCTCAGCACTGTTGGTAGTGTTGTGCGTTAGAACGTGAAACACTCCTATACAATGACCACATTGACAGCTACAATGACATGCTCAAAGCACAAGAAATTGTTCACAATCAGCTGAACTTTGGCTCTGGCTCACGACAGCACTTGTGGATTGTTTCTTCCTTAGAAGGAAAGGGAGAAAGGTAGATATACGATTACCACAAATTATTGAGGCGCAAATGGGTATATTGTTGTTGCTGTTGTTGATATTGTAGTTTGTCAGAGTCAATAACTTTCTTGTTCTTATTACAAATTTTAGTTGTTGACCTTACAATTTATTGATAATTTTTTGGTGTGACATGTCAACAACAACATCAGCAGTAGAAGCAATTGCTGACCAGTAGTCGGATAACAAAGCGTATAATTGCTCTTGAGGTGTCACTAATGTAGCAAAAAACTGAAAGCTATCGCCACCGTAATATTCTTTCCTGTTTTTTAATTATTTTTTTTACCATGAAATATGTCGATTAAATAAAATAGTAATTTCTGGCTTTTATTTATAATTTGATGTGAAGGCGTACAGCTCTGACCAATCTTCCTTTATATAAACGGAAATATGTAAATAGTGTAGAATAACACAATTATATATATATATATATATATATATATATATATTTATTTATATACATATAATTAGCGCTTTGTAGCTGCTGAGACGAGTTGAGACTTCTATATTTCTGATTATTTGTATTTCGACTAAGAGATTTATGTGTTAGGTTGTCAAATATCTCCCTTCCGCTTTTTTGTCTTTTGAATTTCGCGGCTATGTACAAAGCGCTACAGAGCTCGTATCTGGCAACACTATACTTTGAAAGGTCTTGACATAACCTACAAAACAATGCTATGCATGATTAGTTTGGATATTGCGTTCAACAGTTATAGACGTGTAAACATGGAGTTCACTAACGCCGAAATTCGCGCTATTTTAAAGTTTTCCTTCGTTAAAGGCAAATCCGCTAGAGAAACGTTCCGTGAGATTAATGGTGTTTTGGGGGATGGTACTCTATCACTTTGAACCGCGGAGGAATGGTTTCGACGATTCAGAGCCGGTGAAAACGACACCATGGATAAGCCAGCCGGCGGAAGACCTGTGACGACAAATACCGATCAAATCACGGAATACATCGAGTTAGACCGGCATATGGCTTCTTGTGACATCGCCCAGGAGATGGGAGTTAGTCACCAAACCATTTTGAACCATCTGCAGAAGGCTGGATACAAAAAAAGTTTGATGTTTAGGCGCCGCATAATTTGACGCTAAAAAACCTTCTGGACCGAATGAACGCCTGCGATATGTTGCTGAAACGGAACGAACTCGACCCATTCTTGAAGCGAATGGTGACTGGCGACGAAAAATGGATCACATACGACAAAATTAAGCGAAAACGGTCGTGGTCGAAGGCCGGTGAATCGTCCCAAACAGTGGCCAAGCCGGGATTGACGGCCAGGAAGGTTTTGCTATGTGTTTGGTGGGATTGGAAGGGAATCATCCACTATGAGCTGCTCCCATATGGCCAGACGCTTAATTCTACCATCTACTGCGAACAACTGGACCGCTTGAAGCAGGCGATTGACCAGAAGCGTCCAGAATTGGCCAACAGGAAGAGTGCAGTGTTCCACCAGGACAACTCCAGACCACACACTTCGTTGATGACTCTTCAGAAGCTACGGGAGCTCGAAAGGGAGATATTTGACAACCTTATATCATAGAAACAGGACTAACACCAACAGCAATGTTAGCGTTGTAATTACACACAGAAACATTCCCGACAACAGGTGATACTTTAGACAAAATAGGCAAATGAACGAGCAGATATCAAACTCTATATGTCTCTTAAAATGTCAGTTCCTCTGTACGGTAGAACTATCATAATAAAGTTGGATCTAATCATTTTGTTCAGTTCTATCAAAATTCTCAATGGTTGGAGTTGTTTTATAGAATAAAGCGTAACTGAACGTTGATCGAAGCAAAATATTTACCAAAAAATCTCAGTTAAGCCAGCCAGTAAAGGCGGGATAAAGCTTTCAAGCCATTTTATCTAAATGCAGCTCTTTACATTAGTATTTTCCTATGACAGATGAACTAGATGACACTGTTGTCAGCGGACAACAAAATACAAATAAATTATTCACTACTGAGTTACCTGCTTGTCATTCCTATATGCGCGCCCTTCGCCGTTAAGTGTCGTTAAAAGTAGCGCGCCCTTCGCCGTTAAGTGTCGTTAAAAGTAGTGCGATTTCGCCGCAAATGTCAAGCGACATGTAATTAAAGCGAACGAGCGAAATTCAAAGTAAGCGAAATAAACCAAATGCACCGCAAATGCAACAATGAATGGCAATAAAAAAACAAAACTAACTTAACGGTACCTAGCACTCAATCAGCATAGCAAAACTCAACTGAACATACAACTCGCCACCACCACGAATTGTCAATCTAACTCATGTATTTTGTTGCTGTTGTTGTTGTTGTTGTTGTTGTTGTTGTTGTTCTTTTTTCATTTTTGTTTGTTTGAAAACTAGAAACTGTAGAAATGTAGAAATGAGAAAATGTGGCAAAAGCCTGTGGCAGTTTTGTGTTGAGTTTGCATACAACACTTGTTCCCTCGTTGTTATTGTTGCTGTTGCCATATTTTGATTTCACATTTTCGCAATGAGGCAGCCAGTCAGCGAGCCAACTGGCCAATCAACCAGACAGACTGGCAAAGTCGGGTGTGCCAAATGGTGGAGCGGGGTGTGTGGCATAAACGCGAAAACAGGTAGTCGTGTGTTGGCAACGACAACAACAGTTTAAAAGTGCTGCCGGCATGTGGCATGTGGCATGCGTGTATCGTCAATAGTGTGCTTCTTCCTCCTCTACTCGATGATCTGCTTTCTATGCGCGAGGTTGTTGTTGTTATTGTTGTTGTTGTTGCTCTCGATGTAAGTAGTATTCGTATAATTGGCACTCAGTTATCTCTCGGCTCAGACGGTTGCTGTTGCTGTGGTTGCAACTGCATTGGCGCACTAGAAACGATTTTGATTGGTTTCCAGTTTTCAACGTCATCAGTCGGCTGTATGGTTGACTAGGTAAAAAAGTACAGTGTCACATGCTTTTAAGGCGTTGTTGTACTGTTTTTACGATTTTACATACGATTTATTTGCTTTAAAGATGTCACTCAACGATTTGACTTGCGGCGGGTATAGAAAATTCACTTCATACATTTTTCATTTATTAATTAAATTTTTCATTTTTTAGCTTATAGTTTAGATTTTTTCCAAAATTTTATTTAATGGCTTCTTTTCCTTTTATTTGCAGTGCGCGTAATGATATGATTGGACACATTTTTGGTAAGTTTTTCTTACTCCTATTAAGTTGAGTAGTAAAATCTAACCAGTCGAGGTGAGTTTATGACTCGCAAAAGCGAAAGGAATGCCAAAAACAATAAATTAACAAAATTATACATATTTTTGAGGAAAACTTGATGCGTAATTTTAAACAAAGCTTCCACAATTTAATACTCTGAAAGGTCAAAACTTTTCGTTAAATACTTAAACAAGCAAAAAATAAACTTTTGTTAACTTTTCTTTAATCTCAGGACCAAAATTAAATTATCCAGTGGAGTGGGTTGAAATTTAACTGCGTTGGGCTTTGAACTTTCATGGGCGAGGCGATTGCGTTAGCAACGCAAAACAAACACAAGTGAAAAACTTGTTACCGAATAATGAGTGTGAGTCATATAAAATATCATGTTTCAAAAGGTTAACAGTATTTGGGATTTTCTAAGTGTTTGTGGCCGCTGCTAAAAGGGTATAAAAAGATTATTGAAATTAAATAGCACATTAAAGGAAAGGAATGTAAAAAAACAAAAATCAAGCAAAAGAAAATGAAAGCTAAATATGTATTTTATTGAGAGTAAGATGAGCCTCTAAATAGTAAAAGTGGTATTTAGAAAATTTTAAAAAATATTTTTTTTCTTAAATAACATAAAAAATGAATTGAAAAAAAAAACAAATTATTTAATTATCAAAGACGAAAAAAAATAAAAAATGAAGTAAAAAATAATAAGAGAATAAAATAAAGTTAACCAAAAACAAAAAAAAAAATTATTTATATGAAATTAAGCGAAAAAATATTATAAAAAAGAAAAAGAAAATGAAAGCTAATTATGTTAATAAGAATAAGAAAAGGCTCGGCAAATAGAAAGAATAGTATTAAAAAGAATTTCAAAAAAAGATTTTGTTAATTAAGAAAAAATAAAAATAAAACGAATTAAAAAAAAAATTAATTAATTATAAAAAACGAAAAAAAAAATTAAAAAATGAAGTAAAAAGAATTAAGAGTATAAAATAAAAGAAAATCAACAAAAAAATATTTAAATAAACGAAAAAATATAAAAAAAAATAAAAAAGAATGACAAAAACATATAACAAATACAACAAATTAAGTTAATAAACAAAACAATTATAAAATTAAGTTAAAAAGTAGAATTACATAAAAAAATTAAATTAAATAAAAAAATTATTTAGATCAGAAATACAATGAAAAAACAATTCATAAAAATAACATAAGATGAAAAATTAAAAACTATATTAAATTAAATAAAAAATAAAGTTAAATTAACTAAAAATTCAAATTCAATTTAAAAGAATTTCATGTTGTTGTAGTTGTAATTAAACTAAAAAAATTAAATAAAAGAATAATAATTTATCCTAACCTTTAATCTATAATATAAAATATGTATATATGAATGACTGACGAATCAACTCTCAGCTTAAACCACTGATCGTAAAGATGTGAAACTTGGAGCGTTCTGCGTATGACGTAGGAACCCAATAAGAAATGATTTTCTGGGAAGTGGAACTGTGACTGATCTATTCAGAAAAATGGAATTAATTTTTAAACTGATTGACTTACAGAAGGTAACACTTTTTCCCTTAAGAAGTGGATCTAGGACATATCTATATATATAGACTTACAGAGGTAGCTAAACTAATATGGGGGGCACTTTTTCTTCCGAGAAATGCACCTATAATGAACATATGGCGGTGCCATTTGCCAAACCCTTTTCCCTAGAAGTGAACCAGGGGCCGATATGTTCGGAAAAAATCGTATTCATAGTTCGCTGGATATCTCTAATATAGAGAACTCTTTGAATATGTCAATGTGGGGAGAAATCTTTATTTTGGGACCGATCTAACTGGAAGAATCAAACTCGTATTCATGGTCCGATTTGCGGGAAATTTGGACCATAGAAAGCTTCTTGCCCAGGCTAATATGTGAAAAACTCTTTTTTTACATATTTTAACATAGCAGTTTATTAGTAATAGAAAATGAGTAACGCAGAAACCCAATAAAAATCTTACTAGAACCATTTTTGAATTCCTTCTGACAAAGTCGCGGGCAACATCTAGTACTCTATAATATGAGTATAACAAATGAGGTGTATTTTTTGTTTTTCTTAGACATGTAGAGTTCAGATAGTTTAGAGTGTTTATTTCCTAAAGAAAACAGTTTAATCACCGCCACTTACTCGAAGGGCCGTGCCGAACATTCTCTTCCAAACCGTCAATTGTCTCGAAATAATGCGATCCCCGAAAATTTCCCTCCAATAAATTAATCGCTTCGTGTCACAAGTCGGAACCAAAGGTCGTCAACAACAACAACCTGCAATTCAAGCACGTTCGGCTTTAATTCTTCACGAGTTGGATTTTGTAATCCCGCAAACCAAAATTCGGCAAAATTCTGCAAAATCCACAAAGTAGATGGGCACAGTTCCAACTATTGCGATCGCGGATGAGCTTATTCTGGTCTTTTTCTATAATCTGCTGCACAGGCGCAATAGCGTCTATGGTCTGCACTGTACGGCTTCTCTGCGCATCGCATTATGCACCAGAGTGACCGTGGTACGAAACTGATCCATGGTTGCGTGAGTAAATTAGTATACTGGGCTGTTTGTCGACCACAATTTCGATAATAGATTTGTACGATTTGCAAATATTGTTTCGGTGTAGTCTTTTTTATGATAGGTCCAGCTGAGTATAAATCAAGCAAGAGACCAACCCCAAAAAAGAATTGCCTCATTGGAACCTTACGTTCAAAAAAAATCATCAATTATTTAATAATCATTTAATTTTAGTCTCCAAGTACAAAAGTCAATATGTCGAGAGTATTTGTAGAAAATAAAAATATATACATATACATATACTGGCCATCAGAACTTATTATTATTTATTTTTAATTTACTTATAACGAAGTGTTGTTTTTTTTTTTTTTTTGTATTTATTAATATAGATTTTGATGATATCTCCCAATATTTTTACTCATACAAATAATTTCGTTCATTAAAAATGCACTTACGTAATACGTAACCATTCTTAATATTCGAATGAGAACTTTTTATTTTTAATATGTATTTTTTTAATTTCTATCCCGTTTAAAATCATTTCATTTGAGTTTTTCAATTTATCCGTACGCTTTTAATTACTGTAAAGATGTGCAAATCGATAAATTAAGCTTTTTAGTACCCAATCAACGAAAGCCTTGATTTTGTAATATTATTTTAATGTGCCGCCGATCAACTTAAGTAAGTAACAGCAAGTAAAGCGCTTAAGTTATCCACAGCCAAGCAAGCGAACGTTAAGTATGTACATATATGTGAATCGCATAAAATATTTCAACTACAGTTAATAGCGCATTTTTTTTATGTACATATGTATGGATACGTACCTTTATAGATTTTAGCCACTTACTAGGTCTAGGTGGTGTGAAAAGTGACCTCCTTGGGAATGGAAAAAAAAATTTCAAACTATTATTTTATTTAATTTAATGTAATATCCTTTTAGCTCGATACGCTTATTCCAGCGATTTTCCAACTTCAAGATCTTTTCTCTCGAAGTGCTCTCGCGTTTGTTCTTTTCGTCCCGAGTAAGCATGCGCGGCACCCAGCGGCAGGAGAACATTATCATATAATGACTTTTACTTAAAATTTGACGCTGAGCTCACACGTAGTGTAGTATATGCTAGCTCGGTAACTTTTACTTTTCGACCATTTCATGTATTTTTTTAACATTGTCCTCTATGACCGCATCGAAGGGCCTGCCGCTGCGGACTTGATTGGTACTGGAGTTGCGGTCAGCACGAAACTCTCGAAACGAATATTTGACGATGTTATCTGACAGAGCATTAGTCCCATAATATTTATCCAACTTTTCTTTTGTTTCCTTCGACGTTTTGCCTCTCAAAAACTAATGTTGTTTACAGTAGCAGCGCATTCTGGTGGTCAATTAGGGTACTTTACACCCCACCTAGTAAATATGCCCATGAAGTTATGACTTTCCAAAATAAAATTTTTAATGCAATACAAACTGTTCAAATTTCAATCTACGCGTATATACAATGAAATCATATCAAGCAAATTTAATTAAAATTAGAAAAAAAAATTTTAATTCAATTCTTCATGAAGGGTTGCCAGCTCTTTGAATAATTTAATTGAAGAAAATATATTTTAAGTCCTAACTAACTACGAAATGAGCTTACAACTAAAAAATTTTAAGAACCTAAAGTAAAAAAAAAAAATATTTTTTGTAAAGCTGCTTGCCGGATATTTGGGTTATATAAAATCTTGACGGCCGTGGTAGCCGAGTGGTTACTGCCATTCTAAAGTCTCGGGATCCAATGCTGGTGTCGTACTAACATCTAAAAAAGTTTTAGAAAAATAATTTGAATAAAAAAGGTAGCTAAATTTTCTAATTGCGGTCGTTCCTCTGAAATGAAATAAAGGCTCTTCATGAAAAAACCATCAGCTGTTCGTTCTGTAGGTCCCTCCATTTGTTAGAAAAACATCAAGACGCAAAACCAGGTTGTAACAGTTCCTACTGGACCATTCGTTTTCAAGCTCACCGTACACACCTTCTTTGGATCGGAGCACTTCAGCATATACGAGTTTTGTCAGAAAAATCATCTAACACATTGGTGGATATTATCGAAATCGGCTACTCCCATGAATAGCATGTCATTTTACCTTCTGCACACCAAAATCATAAAAATTGAAAAACTTCATCACATAGCTCATCCAACCGATTCAACAGATATGAGAATTAATATTTTATCCTTTAATAAAATATCGTCGGCATGGTTGAATATGGCTTTTCTTTCTAGCTTTTTTTTTTACTGATGGCACCCAAAAACCCGAGTTCCTTTGAGAGGCCGGCATTGTCGGTGGCTTTTCGAAGCGCTTTTGCTCCTTTTATAGCAAAAAAATATAATATATAAATGTATATGTATGTCTTCGAAAATTTTACTCATCAAATTGCTGCCGGTCCGAAAGAAGAGTTTGAATATGGGGTCT